AATTAAAAAAAATGAAATACAAACATCAAAAAGCTATCAATCTTAAATGATCAAGAATCAGCCTTATGTACTTGAACATGTGGCATCAGGAGCATATCTGACTTTGCCTAGCACAACTACAGAAGTTGTTAGAAAGCACAGAGAGTGAAACCTCACGTCCCAGGTATCCTGGACGTGAGATGCTCTGAGCCTCTCCTCTAATCAAAGTGCCACATGTTTATTTATTGATGCATCCTAAAAATATTTGTTGGTCATCTACTATATGAAATGCATTGTACAAGGAAGCAAATTACTTTCCTATGCTCCAAGTTAATTCTCCGAGGACAGAGTAACTCATCAAAAATAGCTTGGGATATTATCCAAACACTAGTAATTGTGTTAGCAAACTTTAAGAGAGGAATGTTGTACTTGAATTTAAATAGCTACACAATTTGTGATAAAATAATGGAATCAGGTAAATTCACCCAAAAAATAAAAGCTTGATTTTATAAGGTATTAGAGGGAATGGCATTAATAAATACTGATTTCCAAAATTTTCTTATTGGCTTTATTGTACACAGATGACACAAACCTAGATACAAAATTGCTAGACCTTGAAATGTTAAAATCATTGCCCTGTAAATACCAAAAAGTGTATCTTAGCTTAATATAAGAGCAGAAGCTTGACATGCTGCATTCCACCAAAGAGCAGTGTAGATAAGGAAATAGCTCAAAGATAAAGAGATACAGGTACCATTATTACTCCGGAATGCACAGGGCTGGAAAGTGGGCAGGAGTCAGAAGACTTCAGACAAACTCAGCCTCTAGCACTTTCCCACTGCCTGCGTATCCCACCACCAGCCTCCATCTCTCTCTTCCAAAATAACAATAATGATAAAAATAATTAAAGTGACAGGATAATACCTGCCTTCTCAAAGTAACTGTAACCCTTTCTTCATCAGATTGACGGAATAGTCAAAATGAGAAGCTGTCCATGAAAGCATGGTTACCTACATGCACACATACCCGTATGAACAAATGGCATGTTTTCACGTACTTATTCCTACTAGTTTTCCAGTCATTAAAATATTTGAAAATCCTCTTTTGAAATTATATTATTAGGAACACTTACTGTGCCTCATAAAAAAATCAATCTCATAATGTTACAGCTGTGTTTCCTTTTGGTGAGACCACCCTTCATTGGTTTCATCACACACATTCTTCATCAAACAGCTTCAAAATTACCTTTAACTTTTTCAAAACGTTTAGTCAAATCCTCAAAGATTTGCCATCACTAAAGATATTTAAAAGAATTTGCCTCATGCTTTTAAGTCAGATTTTTAGTTTATTTATAGTGAATCGTGAGAAAGAAGACATCTACTAAGAAGGTCACCTGGTGCTAACAGGGCTCAAATTTTTTTAAAAAATCAGCCTAGCAGCCATTTCCACACAGAAGCCTGCTTCTGTGCTGCCCACCCTGTTTTTGCCTTGGAGCCGGCCCTTATAAAGGAGTTCTTGGAATTGTATTTCAACCAATAGGACTGAGGCTTTCCCCATCCAATTGGAGCTGCACAGCTCTGACCAACCAGGGCAACTCTATTCTGACCGATCAGGACAGTGTCTTTTGGACCAAACTGTGAGGATATGGAGTCTTCATTTGCATGAAGACAGACCAGTGAAGAACCAGGGGCCCAGAAGTCTGACTATATAAACCAGCTCCCCTCCAGCTCTGATAGTGCCCTTTCCCTTTCCATCTAAGACTGAGGGCCCTGGCTGAGCTGCAGCACTGACCAAGGCACAGCGGAGCAGACCAGCGCAGTGCAAGCTCATGGGCAAGGGCCAGAGCAGAGTGGACCCGAGAGGAGCAGAGAGGAGCTGTCTAGCCAGAGAGAGCCCGGCCCCGGTGCCGCCTGGCCCTATGGCTGCCCTCAGCTGTGCTGTTTTCACAGCCATGCTTTATCACGATCGGGCTGTTTTTCACTGAATGAAGTTTCCTTCTTCACTGCAGCCTAAATTGGGAATTTCTGTTGGCTTTGAATTGGCACCAAGACCACTGGTTGACAATATATACATATGTAAGTATATATGTATATATATATGCTGTATAAATCCTAAGTGTAAAGCTTGATGAATTTTCACAAAACAAACACAATGGTTAATCACATCCCAGGTCAGGAAATAAAATACACTACCACCCCAGAGTCCCCCTTTGCCCTCTTACAGTCATTAACAATTCACGTCTTACTTACATAGAGGAATGTTATATCAGGCAGGATCCAAATAAATGTATACTTTTTTGTGTTATTTATTCAAAATTGGTAATTATCCAAGTTGTTGCATATATGGGTAATTCATTCATTTTCACATGATGATATATTCAATGAATATTATGAACATGCCACTGTCATTCATTGTAATGGTTGATGACCATTCAAGGAGACGTTAACCAGTTTGGAGTTATTTCTTTTTTTTTTTATTTTTATTTTTTTTATCCTCACCCGAGGACATTTTTCCATTTTTTGTTCAGGTAGAGTGGGAGGGAGAGAGAGGAACAGAGAGAGAGAGAGAAACATCGATGTGAAAGGGACACATCGAGTGGCTGCCACCCGCACGACCGACCAGGGCAGGGGACAAACTGCAACCGAGGTACATGCCCTTAGCGGGAACCGAACCCGGGTCTCTCAGGACCGCAGGCCGACGCTCTAACCGCTGAGCCAAACCGGCCAGGGCAGTTTGGAGTTATTTCAAAGAATGTTGCCAATAACATTTTGTACATGTTTTTTGATGACATGTATGCATTTCTCTTGCATACACTCATAAGAATGGAATTGCTGCATTAAGGGACATGTGCGTTTTCAGTTTCATTACTACTACCAGTTTTCAAAAGTGACGATACCAGTTTGGACTCCCATCCTTAGTATCTTAAAGTCCTGTGTATTTTTTAAAATGATGTATTACTTAATTTCCAAGCATGAAGTGGTTTTATAGTGATTTGACTTTTATTGATTTCTAGCTTTCTTTATAGTCTGAGAAGATATTCTATTTGATTAAAATACTTTGAAATTTATTGCAGCTTGCTTTATGGACCTGCATGTGGCCAGTTTTGGTAACTATTCACTGTCTACTTGAGAAAGAATGTACATTTTGTGGTTGTTGGTGCTTTGTTGCATTTTAAGTCCATTAGGTCAAGTGTATTAAATATGTTGTTAAAATCTTTTATAACGTAATGATTTTTTGTCTGATTTTTCTTTCCATTACCGAGGTAGGTAATTAAAATCTTTTACTATGACATTCCTACTTCTCTTTATAGTGTGGCAATTTTTGCAGTATATATTTTGGAGGTATATAGCATTACATGCATATGAATTTAGTTTTATCTTTTTTGTGCAGAAATGTAAAGGATTATCTCTTCTAATGTCTAGTAATTATTTTTCCCTTAAATTCTACTTTGTCTGAAAGTAATTTATATATGCCAGGTTTCTTTGGATTAATGTTTGTATGGAATTTTTTTTTTTCCATGCTTTTACTTTCAACCTTTCTTTGTCCTTTAATGCATCATGATAAATGTGTCTTGTAAGTAGCACTTATTATATTTATTTTTATTTTTTAAATTTGTCTTTATTGTTGAAAGTATTACAGATGTCCCCCCTTTTAACCCCACTGACACCATCCAGTGACACCAGGCCTTCACCCCACTAATTATCTGTGTCCATGTGTTATACATACATGCATATAAGTTCTCTGGTTATTCCCTTCCCATCCCTTTCCCTTTGAGAGTTGGTTGAACATAGTCCCATGCACCAAAAGGTCGATGGTTTGATTCCTGATCAGGGCACATACCAAGTTTCGGGCTCGATCCCCAGTAGGGGGTGTACAGGAGGCAGCAGATTGATGTTTTTCTCTCTTCCCCTTTCCCTCTCTCTGTAAAATCAATAAAAGCATATTTTATAAAGTAGCATTTATTTTTGATGTATTAATCCTCTCTGGTAGTTATTTCTTTTTAATTAGAGTATTTAGTCCACATATATTTGTGTGTGTGTGGTTTTTTGTTTGCTTATAATTTTTTATTGAAGTAAAGTTGGCATGTGGTGAAATGTATCTTAATTGTATAATGTGAGTTTTTACAAATATAAACACCCATGTAAACAACACTTCAATCAAAATATAGAACATTTGCATCATCCCAGCAAGTTCAATTAGGCACATGACAGGCAGTATCCACTCCCGTAGACAACCATTTTTTTGATTTCTGGTGCCATAGATTAGATTAAACATGTACTTTATATAAATGAATTATAATGCATGGAAGATTCTGTGTAAACTTTCCTTTGTTCCAAATGATATATGTGATACATGTTCAACAAGTAGCAGTAGCATACTTATTTTTATTGCTTAGTAGAATTACACTGTATGACTACTTTCTGTTGACATACAATTGAGTTATTTCTAGGTTTTTGACCCGTCCCGCAGGTCGAGCAACGAGGACTCTAGAGGGGGAGTGAGGATGAGAAGGGACAAGAGACACGAGAAATGGAGACAAGACAGGGCTCTGATCAAGTCTCAACTTTATTGCAGATAGGTAACAGATTATATACTTGTGGGAAAAGTCAGGCAGGGGAGGAAAAGGGTGCATGAGCAGAGAAAACAACTTTTAATCATCAAAGGCATTTACTGCTCCAACACTAACCAGGGGCCTTATCTCAGGAATATTCCTCAAGATGATACTTCAAGGACCTTCAGGCAGTAAATTGCAAGCAGGAAAACAAGTTCTGCACATACAGCCAACTTATTCTTAAAGGGCCCTCGCTTGACCCCAACAGGTCCCCCTTTTTAATTTTATTGATGATATTACGGGGTTGTGCCTGTCTTAGGTCGGAGAGATCTCACTGTAGTACGTTGAAGGTCTCTTACCCGTCATGGGATAACAAGGCAGCGAAAGGCCTTGCTCCTGTCTTAGGCGAGCCTTTGTACTTCTCAGTGTCTCTCGGTTGCCCGTCATTGGCTAACCAACCCAGCGTAATTTAGGCCATCGTATCAAAGTACGGAATGCCTTGTTCAGCCTGCTCGAGGCAATGATAATGGACCTGTATTTGCTGTACCTTGATTGCCTCAATTTGCTGCTTGATGAAGGCCTTAATTTTGTTAAATATCATGGGCCCAAAAGATAGTAAAAGGAGCAAGCCTAAAAGAGGGCCTAAGAGAGGGAGGAGGTAAGGGAGAACCCCATTCAGCCCGCTCCATAATGGATTGTCGAAGAGTTCTTTTCTTCTTTTCACCAGGTCGTCCTGGAGCTGCTTTATCTTGTCTCTCACGATGCCTGACTTGTTCGCGTAGAAACAGCACTTCTCCTGTAGGGCTAAACAAATCCCTCCCTGTTCTGCAGTAAGCAAATCTAATCCTCTTCTATTCTGGAGGACTACCTCCTCAAGTGAATCTAACTGATCTTGTAAATCTTGAATAGTACTAGAAAGTGCCTGGACATCATCTATTAATTGATTAGATAGCTTTGTATAGGTGTGCAGCGACATTCCTATTCCAACTGTTCCAGTAGCGAGAGCCCCGGAGACTCCTAACCCTACCAAGAGGGGAATAAATGAAATGGCTCTTTTGGAGCGTCCCGCCAGATAATCAAAGCTGGGTATAGGAACTGGATCATCCCCGGAGATGATATCAATATCTGGTAGTAAGGTGGCTAGGACACAAATTCCCGTCCAATTTTGAGGCAAGGCGGAGTAGGCTAGATTGTCACCACACACGAACACTGTTCCTCTATCAGGACACATAGAAATATTATATTCTATATAATTACTGCAATTAGCAAAGGCAATAAATCCTACATCTATGTCATAACTATTATTCTGAAAACGGCCCTTAAAGCATGAGGGGCTGGAGAACCCCATGGGTTGTACTCCAAAAGGTAAACTATAATTGCAATTATTATTATGTTTATAGGAGGTAATGTTTACGGGTAAAGCTACGGGCATAGGGGTGCCCAAAGTCATACATAACCAGCAGTCAGCAGCAAGCATAGGATTAGAAATATTTAATGCTTTATGAGTTGCATCTAATATATCAATTGTCTGGGTGTCCAAATCTACACCCCGTGATTTGGGCAGAGCCAAAGGATGGTAATTAATTTTGGGGTACAGCTGTTCCATAATTTGCTCAAGTCGTTTCTGAGTCTTGGCTTCCTTTATTTTGTCTTGTGGCCCTCCCCCATCAGAAACATGAATTGGGGCTTCTTTGGACCAACACACGGCCTTTGCCACGGTACCCGAGCAAGAGGCTTGGGCGTATTTACTGTGGGAACCTCCTGGCAGAATCGGTCCCCAATCTCCTCCCACAGCGCCTCCCCATTGTCGTTGAAGAATTGCAGTGAAATAAGTCTTGTTGTTATAAGTACACTCCTGTACGGACTCATAACAAGAGGAGTGCATCTGATTAGAAAAGGAGGTGCATGGGCAGGTCCCAGGCCGCCCTTTTATAGTAGGTATGATAGGGGGTTTATTTGTACACTGCCATTGCGGCGTCCTCAGTCCTCCAAGCTTACTGTGATCTGAGGCGAGGTAAGCAGTTCTTTGACCACAATCTACTGTTTTGAATTTGATTCTAGGTATTGCATAGTTAGTGGCGATGCCTCCTCGACAATCGCAGGGTTTCCCATATAGAGTGTCATATAATTCACTTTTACTTACCGGAGGTTGCAAACCGGCGTCTCCAAGCTGAAGGACTGCATTGAGCGCAGCCAGGATCAGCAAACGTACGGGCTTCATCCTGTCTGGAAAGAATGTGCTATGCTAGTTTAGCTACAGCAGAATTTATTTGTCTGACTAGTCTTTCCGGCAGCCATCGAGCAGAGTGCGTCTCCTTTGAATAGACACAGACTGAACCTCGCCACCATATTAACACTGGATCAGGGCCATGCCAGGAATTATCTAGTGGGTCTTTCCACAGTACGGAGGCGTATTATTTTTGTGTGGAGAATTGCCAAAATCTTTGTGCTGCGGAAAGTCCTTGAGCATCCAAAGTTAAAAAATTTAAAATAAATAGTGTATGAGATAGTAAATTTCTGGGTGTCCCTTTAGTAGGGTACCATTCCCCCTTTTTTATTTTATTGATTGTACATTTTATGGTTTGATTAGCTCTTTCTACTATTCCTTGTCCCTGTGGATTATAAGGGATTCCTGTGATATGTTTAATGTGCAATTTTGTACAGAAATCTGCAAACCGGGAACTGGTGTATCCAGGCCCATTATCTGTTTTTAGGGAATCTGGCTTCCCCATAGAAGAAAGGGCACTTAACATGTGTGCAATAACATGTTTTGTAGCTTCTCCTGTTTGTAGAGAGGCAAAAATATAACCACTAAATGTATCTATGGAGACATGTATATACTTTAAATTGCCAAACTCAGGGATATGTGTTACATCCATTTGCCATAAGGCATTAGGTATTAGTCCTTTAGGATTAACTCCCAGATGAGGTATAGGTGTAGTCTGTAAGCACTGAGAGCAACTTTTAACTATTTGTCTAGCCTGTTCCTTGGTTATGTTATGCAGGAGTCTCAAAGTTCTGGCATTAAGATGATGCAACTGATGAGTTTGTTGAGCTGCAGAAATTCCTTTTTGTTGTGTTATGGCAAGGAACAAGTTTTATGTGGCTGCATCAGCTTTTGCATTACCTTCTGACAGTGGACCAGGAAGGCCAGTATGTGCCTTCAAATGTCCTATAAAAAATTGTTGAGTTCTTTGGTGAATTAAGGCTTGTAACTGTCTGAACAGATCACTAGCAGTGGAGACAGTTTTAATATGACCTACTGTCTCTAGTAATGGAACTGATTGTGCAATATAGGCACTGTCTGTGTATATGTTTAGAGCTTGATTAGGAAAAGTAGCAAATACTGCAATAACTGCTTGTAATTCTATAAGTTGAGCAGATGAGCACTGCGTATGGAATTGAGTCACCGAGTTACCAACCACATAAGCTGCAGTCCCATTAGAGGACCCATCTGTAAATACTAATAAGGCGTTGGTTAGAGGCTTATGAGATGTTTTGACAGGGAAAATAAATTCATGTCGGTTAGCAAAATCTAAAAGCCTGTTAGGTGGGTAATGATTATCTAGCTGCCCACAGTATGAGGCCAAAGAAATGGGCCATTCCTCAGTACTCTGCATTAGCCAGTTAATTTGTTGATAAGTGTAGGGTAAAATTATTTCATCAGGTTCCTTTCCAAAATAACATTTACCTTGGTCTCTGCCTAATATTATTAATTGAGATATTGCTAAATAATATGGTTCTAAAACCCTTTTTGGAGACGCAGGCAAATGAAGCCATAGTAAGGGTGATGTCTGCCAGAATTCAGCTGTAGGAGATTGCTTAGTTGTACAGATTACAAGTTTTAATGGCAGTTGGTAATCTATAAATGTGGTGCTCTGATTTTGTATAGCCTGCTCTACTATTTTTTAATGACTGCCATGCAGCAGGGGTAAGTTGTCTAGGGGAGTTAGGGACAGTATCTCCTTGTAAAATGTCATATAAAGGTCTCAGTTCATATTTGCTAAGTTTTAAGTAAGGAATTAGCCAATTAATATCTCCAAGTAACTTTTGGAAATCATTGAGGGTGTGTAATTTGTCTAATCGTAATTCTATTTTCTGGGGTGAAATACGAGTCCCCTGTAGCTGAAATCCTAAATATGTATATGGATCGGTTACTTGCACTTTTTCAGGGGCGACAATTAAGCCATAAAATTGTAAAGCCTTTTGCATTTCCGCGTAACATCGCAGAACCTGAGATTCCTGTTCACCTGCAATAAGGATATCATCCATGTAATGAATAATATACATCTGTGCCCAATTATTTCTGACTTGTTGAAGGGCAGTAGCAACATATGACTGACATAACGTAGGACTATTGGCCATGCCTTGGGGGAGAACTTTCCATTGATATCTTTTCATAGGTTCTCTGAAATTAATAGATGGTAAACTAAATGCAAATCTTTTTTGATCCTCAGGATGTAATGGTATAGTGAAAAAACAATCTTTCAAATCTATAATTATTTTATAGTATCCCAAAGGAATGGCTGCTGGGGAAGGGAGGCCTGGTTGTAGCGCTCCCATCAGAACCATAGTCTTGTTAACAGCCCTTAAGTCCTGTAACAATCTCCATTTTCCTGACTTTTTCTTGATGACAAATATAGGAGTATTCCATGGAGAATTACTTTCTGTTATATGTCCAGCTGCCAATTGCTCCTGTACCAATTGATGTGCAGCCTGCAATTTTTCAACACTCAGAGGCCACTGATCAACCCATACAGGACTATCAGATAACCAACTTATTTTGTCTGCATGAGTTACAGGAGAATCAGCAGCCCCTAGGAGAAATACCCTAATCCTGTTCTCTGAGTGTTTCCTGTAGGGGTCAAAGGTTCAATTATGCCTTGGCTGTCTTTACCCAAACCCCTTCCTGGTACATGTCCTTGGTTCAGCATTTGGGCTGTGATGACAGTGTTTGGACTTCCCATGATCATTCCCATTTGAGATAATAGATCACGACCCCAAAGATTAATAGGAAGGCCTGCTATGACAAATGGCTGTACTGTCCCTTGATGCCCTTCTGAATTTTTCCAAGTTAGAAGTTTTGAACTTCTTTCTGTGTTGGTGCTTTGCCCAATACCTTTTAAGTGAGTAAGAGTTTCTTCTAATGGCCAGGAGGACGGCCAACATTCTTTCTTAATTATAGTTACATCTGCACCTGTATCAATGAGCCCAGAGAATTCCTTTCCATCTAACCATAGGGTCATTATAGGTTTTTGAGGAGTGATGGTCTCAGCCCAATAGACATTGGACGATCCAAACCCTCCAGATCCTCTTTGTCCTCCAACAACCTTGTTAGTAGTGGTAACATGGGCAAAAGCAGGAGTTGAGCAAAGCGCTGGCCAGAATTAATGGTATTGATGTTTCGAGGAGAAGCAACCATAACCTTAATCTCTCCAGTATAATCATTTTCAATTACTCCTGGAAATACTTGTAGCCCTTGCAATGTAACACTGCTACGACCTAGAATAAGCCCCAAAGTATTTTCAGGCAGAGGTCCATAAATTCCTGTTGATAATGCCTGAACTCCCATTTCTGGGGTCAGTACTGAGTAGGTGGAGGAACAGAGGTCCAATCCTGCACTACCTGTTGTGGCTCGGCAGAGGTCTGAAATGGATTGTTGTTGTTGTTTGGAGGAACAAAACTCATTGCCCCATAGATTTGTTTGGGTTTTGGGGCCTGGGGCTGGCCCCGCTTCCCGTTTCCTTGAAGTGGAGGCAATGGATTCCCTTGTGCATCCTTCTTTGATTTACATTCATTAGCCCAGGATCATACTGCATTTTTGTCACTCAGGGCATAATTGCCTTCTCCTATAAGCATATCAAAGTTCCATCCGTTATTAGATTGTGCATTCCGTTGGGCTGTGTCGCGACAGACCTCGACATATTCAGACTTCCATAATAGGTAGTCTCCACCTGACAGAGTAGCTCCAGCCAAAGTCTGCCAATCACTGGGTGTAAGCCACTGATCAGTTACGGACTCAAGTATAGCCACAGTATAAGGAGCGGTAGCACCATATTGAGCCACAGCAGTTTTTAACTCTTTGATAACCTTAAAATCAAATCCAGTATGATGCCTCCAGGCCTGGCCTTGAGCGTCTGTTGTTTCCGTTACAGGATACGCTTCAGGCTCCTCATTTAGAGGAGGCAAAAGAGGTCCAGAAGGAGTTTTAAGTGGCTTTTGTTTATTATTCCCTTTGGCTGGCCTGTTAGGATTATTCAAAGGTGGAGCAGGCTTCCCAGTTTTTAGCCTTTCTAATTGTCCAATTAAATCTTGATGTTCCTTTTCTAATTTTATTTGTTCTTTTAAGTACTCTATCTCTCAACTGTTTCTGAGGATCAGTGATAGGGAAAGCAGCAGGAGCTGAGGGCAAGGCAGCTGTATATGGGGGTGGCCAGTAACTTTTATTATGATATCTGGCAGCCTGATCAGCTAAATCATCCCAGCCAACCTCTCGAGGGTTGGCCTTGGGTGTGTCATCTTTACTCTTATTTTCGTCGTCACTCTCTTCCTCACTGGAGATGTGCTGTTCAACCTCTAATTCAGTAAGGGATGGATACATTTTAGGTTTAGTTCCGGCCACCAATTCCTTTGCCTTTTTCTTTTTTGGGGTTTTGCATTTAACTTTTACCCTTGCTGCCTCCTCTTCCTCCTCACTTTCCAGTGAAATTAAATCTTCCTGTTCCTTACTGTCTTTAGGTGGCTCTGGGGTTAATTTTGTCTCCTGTAATATAGTTTGTTCTTTTTCTACGACATTTGCTACCACAGGATCAGATTGCCTTTGAGACAATAGCTCATTTATGAGGTTCCAATATGAAAATGCTGTGACAGGGACCTTCTCCGGCCCAAAGGTATTATAAAAATCTTGTAGAGCGTCTCCCACCCTTTTCCATCTCTTTGGATAGGATCGATAGTTCCTTCAATAGGAAACCAAGGGCAGAGATCTTTGATATAATCAGAATATTTACATAAATGTTTTACTTTCACCTTTACTCCTCGTGCCTTTAATGCTTGTCCTAACTGTTCCACAAATAACTCATGCTTACTCATTTCTTGCCCCATGATCGCCGTTCACTTACCCGAGGGGTGCAGACGCAGCAGGTTCCCACGTCGTTCCCTCTTTTCCTTTTTGCCGGCCACTCCAACGGCGTCCTTCACTGGATCCCCCGTGCTGGAGCCCCA